AAGGCAGGACAAGAAGGATGGATGGAAACTTATCACTGGAGAGAAGCAACCTAGAATTAAGGAGAAATTTCCCGTCAGTGAGAACAATTAATCAGTGGAACAACCTGCCTCCAGAAGCGGTGAATACTCCAACACTGGAAGTTTTTAAGAAGAGACTGGACAGCCATTTGTCTGAAAGGGTATAGGGTTTCCTGCCTGAGCAGGGGGTTGGACTAGATGACCTCCAAGGTCCCTTCCAGCTCTCTTATTCTTCCTTAAGGAGAGACCAAGTTTTGCTCTAACCAGCTGCCTCCATTACTTATAGAACAGAAACTCAATGCTCAAATGATTTTTATCTTCACGTCTCTCCTCGCTGGCTATGGCTGCTTTGGGCCCATAAAATCATATTTTCTGGAGGATAAAAGAGCTTCCCACTCTCCATTTGATGCTTAAATGAGAACAGCAAACGGGAAAGCTTTGAGCCTACAGGACGATGTCGTCAGGCCGGTAAACAGTGTATGTCAACAACAGTTGCAGATGAAAGCTGAATGAAGAGGGTGAAGCAACACGCTGTCCTTCATTTTGCAAGAACAGGTTCCCACACAGGTCTTTCACAACCCTACAGCGTCAGCACTCCAAAAAATAAAAAAAAAATAACAATCTGCTTTTGGAGCATGACTAGGTGTTCCTTCAGGGGTAACCGAGTCAAGGCTGACAGCGCATCTTCAGAGCCAGGGTCTCCATCCACTCGAGAGGGAAATGGCTTGGTAGAAATCTGAAATTTTACAGGTGATTGCAAACTCTTCTCTCTTTCCGTTGCAATGCAACCAACTGGGAGTAAAGATCTTGTGGCTTGGGTAGAAAGTTGTGGATGATGGTTATTGAGATCATCTTCCCTGCCACAGGTCAAAGTTCGTAACATGCGCCGGTAGGAGGATTCCATTCGTGATGTTCTTTGTGGTTCCTGCTTCGGATGATGTCTCCACGTGACTATCGTAGTCTGTAAACAGTGGTTCACAGCTTACAATGATAGATGAACTTACAATTAAGTCTTGTTCGAGAAAGCAGAGCTGGAGCCATTTTTAACAGAGGCGCACACAGGCGAACCCAATCTGCTGAAAAGGCGTGTCTTGCTAATTCCTCATTTAGAAGAGAATATTTGTAGCTCAGGGTTGAATTGTGGGGTCCTGGGTGCTCTCTCAGCTTGGTGGTTTTCTTGCAGATGTTTCATTACCCAAACTAGGTAACATTATCAGTGCTAGAAGGGAGTGGGGTTTGAGGAGAGTGGGGAGGGAGAGGGAGAGAGGATTGTGGGGTCCTTGGTGCTCTCTGAGTTGGGCAATTTTCTTGCAGATGTTTCATTACCCAAACTAGGTAACATTATCAGTGCTAGAAGGAAGTGGGGTTTGAGGAGAGTGGGGAGGGAGAGGGAGAGAGGATTGTGGGGTCCTTGGTGCTCTCTGAGTTGGGCAATTTTCTTGCAGATGTTTCATGACCCAACTAGGTAACATCATCAGTACTAGAAGGGAGTGGGGTTTGCGGAGAGGAGGAGGAGGAGGAGGGAGGAGGAGGAGGAGGAGAGGAAAAGGAGGAGAGGAAAAGGAGGACTGTGGGGTCCTTGGTGCTCTCTGAGCTTGGTTATTTTCTTGCAGATGTGTCAGTACCCAAAAACATCCTCAGAACTAGAAGAGAGTGAGGTTTACTAGTTTATATTCTACCGTAGTAGCTAGACTTGTCAGTGTTGATGTCAATCTTGGAGGTTCTGCTTGTGGCTACATAGGGATACTAGGCTGGTCCCCCTTTTAACTCTGCCCCCAATATGAACTGAAAGCAAACTCCACTGATGAGGATATCTCATTTGGGTAATGAAACGTCTGCAAGAAAACCACCAAGTTCAGAGAACACCAAGGACCCCACAGTCGTTGTCCTCCTCCTCCTCCTCTCCACAAACCCCACTCCCTTCTAGCTCTGATGATGTTCCCTAGTTGGGTCATGAAAAGTCTGCCAGAAAACCACCCAGCTCACCCAGGACCCCTCCTGACCAGAACTCAAATCCAACTTGCTTGGAGAAGACCAAGTTTGGAGACAGACCAAACTTAAAGAAAAAAAGGAACAAAAAACTAGAATGCAAGAATCATTTCAACACTGCTTTTAAGGGAATGATGTCCCACCTACACCGTTGGGCATCTAGTTCTCTATGATGCTTGGAGGTGGGTTTCCAGCCTTCCAACTATGTCTAGGGAAGACTGGATGGAACCCAAGGATTTGGGGGGGGGAGGCAAAACTGATTTATCGTCTGAAAACCAGCCTCCTCTTTTACATTCACAGCACAAGGCCTGTCAGTGGGAGGAAAAAATGAAGTGTGCTTGTAACATCAGCCAGCTGTCAGCATGAGGTTCCCAGAAGCAAGTGCACTGGAGGAGAACAGCTCACGGCAAGAATAATGTACCAGCCAGAGTCCAGAGGGAGCAAAAGAGCTGATTCCCGAGACGATGAATAACAGAATAACAGATATGGAAGGGACCTTGGAGGTCTTCTAGTCCAACCCCCTCCTCAAGCAGGAGACTTTATACCATTCCAAATCGATGGTTGTCCAGCCCCTTCTTAAAAGCATCCAGTGATGAAGCACCCACAACTTCCAAAGGCAAGCCATTCCAATGATTAATTATTCTGTCAGGAAATTTCTCCTTAGTTCTAGGTTGCTTTTCTCCTTGATGGGTTTCCATCCTTTGCTTCTTGTCCTGCCTTCAGGGGCTTTGGAGAATAGCTTGACCCCCTCTTCTTTGGGGCAGCCCCTCAGTTATTGGAACGCTGCTATCGTGTCTCCCCTGGTCCTTCTCTTCACTAGACTAGCCATGCCCAGTTCCTACAACTGTTCTTCATATGTTTTAGCCTCCAGGCCCCTAATCATCTTTGTTGCTCTTCTCTGCATTTTCCAAAGATTCAAGATCTTTCTTGATAACGTGGTAACCAAAACTGGATGGTCCAGTTATCTTTTCCCCCATATCTGTGGTCCAATGTTATCTAGTCAGGTAGTGAAATGTCTGCAAGAAAGCAACCAAGCTCGGAGAGCACCAAGGATCCCACAGTCCTCCTCCTCCTGTCTGCAAACCCTATACTGATGATGTTACATAGTTGGGTAGTGAAATGTCTGCAAGAAAGCAACCAAGCTCAGAGAGTACCAAGGATCCCCCAGGCTATGGTGTGTTTCCAGCGAATACTTACCAGGGTCAAGTCAACCCTGGTTGACGGGCTTGATCTAATTTTCTGGGCTTACAAAATCCAGGGAACCGTAAAATAACGACACGGTCTAGCTTGCAAAACTCAAGTTCCCCTTAGACTAAGGCCAGGGAAATAAATTGCACCACGTATTTGAAAGTACCAAGAAGCCTTTGTTCTGGAAGAAATCTGTCTAAGGGGATTGATGACTCCGGGCTACCAAAATAGCTGCTTATTAAAGATGCGTACAAAACCCATTTCTTTAACGCAATTAAGGTCAGCGGAAGATGCTAACCAGGCCTGCTCTGGAGATTTACTCATTTCCTCCCCCCCTCCTTTTTTTTGTTATTCGCTATCTGCAAAAACAAAGTCTTTATTCATAACATTCCTGTCCAAACCAACTTTGCAGGATACTTTTTGCTACAGGCAAGAGAGAAGCCACAACAGGCAAGACAGGAGCCAACAACAGGCTCGGTTGCCTGTTGATCCGATTTTGCTAGAATCTAAGGCCCAACGCTGCAGAATCCCGAATTCTTTCCAAAAAATATAAAATAAAAATGTCAAGAACATGGGGATTCGAAATTTATTCCTTCCTTGCTAACACTGCCATAAAGGCAGGAGACCTCATACCATCCAACTCAAGGGGCTGTCCAATCTCTTCTTAAAAACCTCCAGTGATGGAGCACCCACAACATCTGGAGGCAGGTTGTTCCACTGGTTAATTGTTCTAGCTGTCAGGAAGTTTCTCCTTAGTTCTAGGTTGCTTCTCTCCTTGATCAGTTTCCATCTGCTGCTTCTTGTCCTGCCTTCAGGCGCTTTGGAGAATAGCTTGACTCCTTCTTCTTTGGGGCAGCCCCTGAGATATTGGAAGACTGCTATCCTGTCCCCCCTCGTCCTTCTCTTCATTAAACTAGACATACCCAATTCCTGTAACTTCCGTATGTTTTAGCCTCCAGTCCCCTGATCATCTTTGTTGCTCTTCTCTGCACTCTTTCCAAAGTCTCAACGTCTTTTTTTCCCCATCTTTGTGACCACTTTAATCCACCATAATTAAAGACCATCCCCTCATTGCCAATACAAATAGTGCCAACATTACTATGGCACTAAACGAATCATTCTAGCACTGCAAGTCGATTTAAAGGAGCCGCGGGAGAAGCAGCGTCCGGCCTCGCTCTCTCAAAACAGCCTCCTCTTCCCCCCCCCCGCCGCCGCTTTCTGACGACAAACCCCAGGGACTAGGAACTTGAACTCTTCGTTAACAAGCCAATGATCTCCGACCACAAAAGGAGGGCCGATGCCAGCCCCGCCAATCCCAAAGCGGCAGCCGCAGCAGCCGATGGCGAGAGGCGAAAGGGCGGAGTCGCCGAATCGCTCGCTTTGCAGCTTACTACCGGTTGCAAAACGAAGGAGAAAGAAGAGAAAGGGAAGGAGGAAAAAAAAAGAAAAGGGACTGGGGCGGAAGTAGCGCTTTGCATGGGGAGATGGGAGGGGGGGAAAAAAGGCGCTGGGAGAAGGATTTCCCCCTCTCCAGTGAAACGCCAAGGCTGAGTCAATCAAGAGTTTCCACGCGTGTTTTTTTTTTTTTTTTGGCAAGCAGAAAACTTCCACCCCGGTGCACGGAGGGAGGAAGGGGGGAGAAGCAGCAAAGCAGCAGCTACGCGCCACGCCCGGCCGTGCATGCATGCCCGCCTGCACCCATGCATGCCCGCCTGCACCCACGCATGCATGCACGCCTGCAGCCCGCAGCCTTTTTGTTCGGCAAAGCGAGGCGCGCAAAGGCGGCCGCGCAATGCAATCCTCACCTGCCAGGATCGCCTTGCCCGGGTGCGTCAGCTTGGCTTTGCCGGCCGGGGCTGCGGCGGCCAGGCAGCGGGGTCTGGCGAAGGGGCTGACGAAGCCCGCGGCCGGTGGGGCGGAAGACATCGCGGTGCGAGGCGGCGGCAGTGGCTGGTGCCAACGAAGCGGCCCGCGGCTCGGATATAGCCCTCCGGGGGCGTGATCGCCGCCAGCCAGCCAGCCCTCCTTCCCTCCCTCCCTCCCTCCCTCCGGCCGCCGCCCCCTTTCCTCCCGCCCCACGGGCAGGCGGGGCTCTGCGAGGCCTGGGAGGCGGGGGGGGGGGCGGAGAGAGGAGGTGGGACCGGCTGGCTGAATGGGCGCCGCCCCCCCTTGGCAGCGTGCACGGGAGTGGCGGAGGGGTTGCATTCAGACGACCCCCGCTTTGCACAGCCTGCTGGAGGGTGGCGGGGTTGCATTCACACGATCCCCCGCTTTGCACCGCCTGCTGGAGGGTGGCGGGGTTGCATTCACACGATCCCCCGCTTTGCACAGCCTGCAAGGGGGGAGGCGGGGTTGCATTCACACGACACCCCCCCCCCCCGTGCTTTGCACGAACGGGAAAGCTGATAGCGTGGACGCCACCCTGTTTCCGGCTTTGTCTAGGGCTTTCTCGTGCCCGGGCAAGCTCTTACGTGGGCAAGATCTCTTTGCATCCCAGACTACCAAATGGGGTTGTTGGGGGGTCGGGTGGTAAACAAGGGGTTAACTGGAAGGAGGGCGGGTTCTGCTCTTTGCTTCCGCGGCTGCAAGGTGAGCATACCTGTGTGCGGGACAGGTGCACCCTCTGGAGGTGAGGAAGGAGATTTCAGGGCCGACGTTTCAAGGCATGCAGCCCCCTAAGGGTTCAAAAGAGAATGGCACCGGCCACATTTCCTGCACACCTGAAGGTTTTACCTGTTGGGCTGGGGAAGACTAGATCTCTGGGGAAGCCTCTGATGCTAGGAAAGGTATAAGGACTTTTGGAAGACCGGGATCGGGCAAAATCACCAGATGGAGAAAACCCATCTAGGCAAGGTGCCAAGAGTTAATGCTTGAAGACACTTGATTGATCGATCAATAGGAAGCTTCAACTCCTTGAGAAGTCCATAATGCTGGAAAAGGTGGAAGGAAACTGAAGAAGAGGACCAGAAGCAAGGGTACTGTGATGTTGTGGGCACCGTTGGAAGACCTGAAGGACCAGGCTGGCTGAGGAATTCTGGGAGTTGAAGTCCACAAGTCGTCAAAGGGCCAGGTTTGAAGACCCCTGCTCTATGTGGATGTTGGTTTGCTGCATCTGACACTTGTCGGAAGATCAGCCCTACAAAAAAATCCCCCTCTTCTCCCAGGAAAGTCTACAGGTAGTCCTTGATTTACATCCGTTTCTTTAGTGACCGTTCAAAGTTAACAATGGTGCTGAAAAAAAAGGGATACGACTGTTTTTCCACACTTAGGACTTTTGCAAAAACCCCACGGCCAGGTGATTAAAAATTTGGATGTCCGGCAACCGGCATGTACAGGTAATCCTCGACTTCCACGAAGGGAGGCTTAGCCAATTTCATTGTACACATGTTGTACTTTGACAATAAAGGTTGATTTGATTAACAAGAGTTTATTTAGTGACCGTTCAAAGCTACCACGGCACTGAAAAAAGTGACTTACAACCGTCTTTCACACTTATGACCGCTGTAGCATCCCCGTGCTCACGTGATTTACAGATGCTTGACAAATGACCCACATTTTTATGACAGTTGCCATGTCCCGGGGGGGGGGTGTCACGTGACCCCCTTTTGCAACCTTCTCACAAGCAAAGTCAAATGGGGGAAGCCAGATTCACTTCACAACTGTGTTGCTAATATAACAACCGCAGTGTTTCGCTTACCAAATGTGGCCAAGTCGTAAAAAACGGCAAAGGTCACTTAACAAACTCCTCGCTCAACAACGTAAATTTTGGACTCTTTGTTTTGAGGACTACCTGTATTTATGATGGTTGCAGTGTCCCAGGGTCATCTGACCACTTTTTTTGTGACCTCCTGACAATCAATCAATGGGAAAGCCGGTTTCACTGAACAGCTGTGCAAGAAAAGTCGTAAGACGGGGCAAAACTCAGTTAACGGTCTTGCTTAGTGACGGAACGTTTGATCTCCGCTATGGTCGTAAATCAAGGACTCCCCACACTGAAAAAGGGGAGAGAGAACAGTTTTTAAAGAGGTTACTTTCCTTAACCTCGCACTGTTCAACTTTGCCAGGGTTTGGTCTACTCTGCATGCACCATCTTTTTTCCCAGTTTTTTTGCATGGAATGGAGTTCCTGATGTTGGTTCACTGGCTGGCACAGGTCTTCTCGGCTCTGGAACCAATGTTGGAATTGCAACCAAACCGGGGTTGTTTTTTTTCCTGTTGCAAAAACAGCTTGCTTGCAGCAGGAGCTCATGCAGACACGGCTTTTCAGCTTGCTCCTATGCCACATTAGCACAATTGAAGAACCGCCTGGTCCTTAAAAAAATAAAACGAAGCTGCAGAAAAAGAAAGAAATTACATCCAGCTAACTCATTCTCTCTCATTTTCTTGGCAAAATTTCCGAAGCCGTTTTGCCATTGCTCTTTCCTTGGGCTGAGACACTGGCCCAAGGTCAGCCAGTTTGGCTTCGTGCCTAAAGCAGCATTAGAACTCAGGGTCTCCTGATTTTTAGCTTGATGTCTTAAAATCATTAAACTGGCTCTAATTAGAACAAGAAAAGAGATAGCTGGCCTATCCAGAATCTCTGCTATCACAGTCAAATGGGGTTTCCAGAGATTTGATGTGAGTTTTGCCAAATGCAAACACTGCTTTATTTTGTGGTTTTCAAACAGGAAGCTTTTAATTATAGGGCACCTGGCTCCCGAACAAGAAAGCAGTAACTAAGGTGTACTAGTCCCGATTCTTTGTGAAATATAAGAAATTCAAGCAGTCTGTTTTCATGACATCAGACGTTTTCCACAGCTATGGACTAGTCCAAGATTGGTAAATGCTACATTGGGGGGGGGGGAAGGATTTCCCCCCCTCCTTCTTCTTAGGAACAAACTACAATTGTATGGCCCCTTAGGTGGTTGCTAAATTCATTATCTTGCAGGCTGGCTGATCCCTTGCGGTCCCAACCATTGTGAACCACACACAGCAAGACACCGGTTTGGTTTATGTTTATAATTGAACTTCCATAATATTCATGATTAGCACAAGATCCATAGCCATAAATTATACATGGTTATCTAATTTGGTTTTTGTTTTGTTTTTAAAGTACATAAAATGTTAACGATATCAGTTCTCTGAAGAAGTGGCACCAAAGTAGCAGGGTTCGGCCGCCGTTCTCTAATCGGGGAGAAGAATGCAAGAATGCCGTCGGCTTCATCGGACAGAGAATTCTGGCAAAGCCGAGAAAAAAAGGGGGAAAAAAATGACCTACTAGGGGGTCAGTTCAGGATACCCGGCAGACTTAGGAGACTCCGTTCAAATACAACTAGAAGAGAAGCTTTTAGGGTTGAGATACGAATAAGCAAAATCTTAACGATTTTTCTTCGCGTCGGTGTGATCTTGGCTGAACCATGCGTTTTTCCAATGTTTACGGCTCCCCCGGAAGAACATGGATACACTGATGTTGGCTTGCAAACCTACATGGCTGCATTCGTGGGGTTTTCCCACCCCCCCCTTTTAAATACCAGTCAATACCTTTGTTGTGCCCGCCCTACGTTACTACAGAAAAAAACATCGGGGAAATAATCTGCGCCGAGATAGGATCCAATTTATTCTCCAATCAAGAGTTTCAAAAACCACTTCAAGAAGCAAATTTTTCTCCTTTCTCTTCCTCTCTCGGTGGCCTTCTATCAAATCTACGACTCTTTCCCATTCTACATATTTAAATTCCCCCTTTTGGGGGGGGCAGGTATTACAAACAAACTGAAGAAAAGGAGGAGGAAGAGGAGGAGGAGAAGCGTTACGTATGATTTAAAAAACACGTCTCTCTCCCCCCCCCCAGGAATTTCCCAAAGCTAATTCCGCCTTATTCGCACGGCTGCATCGTTTGTTAGGGTGCCTTTTTAAGCATTAGCCCCTGGGTGCCGTCCAGAAACAACTGGATTAGCAAAACGAAACCAAAAAAACGACAGATTTGGCGGAAGAAACCAGAAAAGCAACAGCAATGTCCTTCTTCATCTCCTGGACCTCTTCTCTCCATTCCCACCCCTACCCCCAAATCTCTCCTGGCCTGAAGAAGTTATTGCTGTCCTAAACGGAGCAGAGACGCGGCGTTAAGGTTTTGGAGAGCGCGTTCAGGTGGTGGGTAACCAAAAATAAAACCGAGAGGGACGGGGGGAGCTGCCTCGTGGAAATTGAAATGTAACAGGACTTAGCAATAAATAACAGCATCCTTTAGAGGTCTCTGAGCCACGGAGGGCAACAGGAAGGCGGTACAAAGCCAACGGAGAAAGTTGTGTCTGGTGCCTTCTGAGACAAAAAAGAAAAAAAGAGAGGAAGATGGGACGGAAAGAGAAGAAGAGGTGACCAGCGGAAAAGGTCGGTCGCAGTGCAAGTTACATGTTGTATCCATAAACTGGCGGCTGGCCATATCCTGGTGCCGTTGGGTATCCGTAGGGAAAATTGGCCTGGGGAGGAACGGCGTTGGGGCCGGCTGTGAGCATCAGCTGCTGACCTGTAAGGAGGCAGAGAGGTTGGTTAGACAACGAAAAGCTGTCTCAGCTGGACAGACCGTTGCGTACGTGGGGTCTGGAGGCTAAAATCATAGGTTGAGGGAGCTAGGCATGTCTAGATCAATGAAGAGAAGGATTGGGGTGGTGGTGGTGGTGGGGAAACTTCATAACTAACTGTCTTCTAATACTTGAGGGGTGTCCCAGAGAAGAGGGGAGCGACCTCCAAAGCAACAGAAGGTAGGACCAGAGGCAATGGGTGGAAGCTTGTTAAAGAGAGACCCAATCTAGAACTAAGGAGCAATTTTCTGGACAGTGAGAACAATCAATCAGTGGAATAGCTTGCCTCTTGGGGCTGTGGCTGATCCATCACTGGAGGCTTTCAAAAATGGGACAACCATTTGACCGGGATGGTATAAGGCCCCTACAATCT